GATACCGTTCTTTCCAATTTTTGAAACTATTGTTTTTTCTGATTTGACGTCCAAAATTGATTCTAAAAATGATATTCAATCGACTCTGAATGTATTACTCGTCTGGAATTTGATAGTCAAAGCGATAGCTGTTGAATTATTCAAAGAACAAGGGCATTTTTCGAAATATAAGATCCGCCGGATTTTTAGGACTTTTGGCCTGAAAAAAGTGTTTCAAACAGCTGAAACCAACTTTTCCTTACTCAGTTTGACACACTCTTTCTAATGATGTATGATTCAGTCGAAAATAAAGTAGTGCTCATCTGTCGAATTTCCCGCACCTTGCATAGCAAAACTGAAGCGAAATATGTGGGATTTGTTGTACACAATTTTGTTGTATTTCACGAAGTTCTCCTTTAACTCGCAAAATTCTGAAAGTATTTTGCAAAATTCTGCAGGTTTTGGCAAAATTCAGAGAAATCAGACAAAGTTCGGAGAATACTCTTGCATAAATCTGTTGTATTCGACAAAATTCTGCTTCACTTCGCAAAATTCTGAAAATATTTTGCAAGATTCTAATAGTATTTGGCAACATTCTGCAGGTTTTGGCAAAATTCTGAGGAATAAATAAAGATATTCTTCCATAATTCTGTTCTATTACACCAAACTCGGCTTTAATTCGCAAAACTCTGAAAGAGTTTTCCAAAATTCTGATAATATTTGCAAAATTCGGCAGGTTTTGTGAAAATTCTGAGAAATCTGAGAAAGTACGGAGAATATTCTTGCATAATTCTGTTGTATTTCACCACATTCTGCTTTAATTCCCAAAAAGGGTAGATGTATTTCACGAAGTCCTGCTTTAAGTCGCAAAATTCTGAAAGGATTTTGCAACACTCTGTACGTTTTGGCAAAATTCTGAGAAATCGAATAGACTTCGCAGAATATTTTTGAATAATCCACAGACAACTCGGCTTCAGTTCGCTAAATCCTCAGAAATATGAGCGGGTTCTGAGAATATTCTTGCACAAATCTGTTGTATTTCACAAAATTCTGAAAATATTTTGCAAGATTCTAATAGTATTTGACAACATTCTGCAGGTTTTGGCAAAATTCTGAGGAAACGGAAAGAGCTCTGAGAATATTCTTGCATAATTCTGTTGCATTTTAGAAAATTGTGGTTCAATTCGCGGTGCATTCTCAGTTGAGGGTGAGGGTGAATTTTGCGAATTGAAGCAGAATTTTGTGGAATACAACAGATTTATGCAAGAGTATTCTCCGAACTCTGTCCGATTTCTCAGAATTTTGCCAAAATCTGCAGAATTTTGCGAGTTAAAGGAGAACTTCGTGAAATACAACAAAATTGTGCAAGAACATTCTTATACTAACTTTGTTTTTAGTCAACTTATTGTTTTGTAGGAGAACTCTAATTAAAGCTTGAGGTCGAAAAACATCAAATTCACTACTATACACCTAGAGAATTTGACATAAATATGATATTATAGGATTATTATCCGCTAGCAAGAAACAGCCCAACATTATGTGCAACGGATGTACTCTAAGCTTGCACTATTTGTACAAATATATACTTTCTAATCAAGTAAATTTTGCTTCGTTAAGCGAACAGGATATAACAAGTGCTTTACAAGAAATGAACCTCTGAGTATTTTGACTATACCCTTTTTTCTTTTCACATTTCTCTATCAGTCTTTTATCAAAAGATGCGTCCTCAAATTCTCGCCATCAAATTCACAGCAAAAGTAAAAGAATATAGGAGAAATACTGCGAAACTTCAATTGTGATTACTTTCCAACCAAAACATCTTTTTTCCTCAGTTTCAGTGCTTTATAATTTAGGAAACACAACATGAGAAGACGAGCATTTTGCAGCTCTTAAAGAGCTCTATCAATTGGTCTATTTAAGTCTCTTAATAATCACAAGCAGGTGAGGGAGAATTATTTTTCTTTTGTCGCTGTCTCTATAAGTGATCATTTTCAAGGTAGTTTTAGAGCACCTAAGAACCCTATCTATAACCAAGCCTTTACTCCAGGTTCGTTTTGGGAGTTCAGATTCAGGCGTTATCAGAATGATGTATAGAATTTGCTTGCATTGAAAGTATTTCTTATCATCCAGAAGAAAAAGAAGTTCTATTTAATATCGGTACAGTGTTTTCAACTGATTCTATATGTGATCCGGTCGAACTGAATCAGTTTTATACAGCTCACGTAACAGTCTGTGAATACAATGAATCAAAACTCAATGATACGAAATTAAAACCACGAAAATATACGCAACCAGAACTATATATATTATTAACCAAATATTTAATTGAACTAAAACAATATTGTACAGTTAGAAAACCGCTAATTAATTTATTAGATAATGCACATGTGCTCTTCCAAGACGACTCATCATTAGCATCAGCTTATAATTGTATGGGTACAATTTATTCACGACAAGGACTGTTTGGCAATGCAATGCTATATTATAAGCTAGCATTAAAATATCAAGTACGACTCGATCCATCATACAATAATGCGTTAGCTGAATGTTTCAATAATATGGGTTCAGGTTTAATGGAACAAAAGTATTTATATGCAGCTTTAGAAAATTTAGAAGAAGCAGTGCGAATTCAAAACCATGAACCAATTGATTAAAAACATTTAACAACGATTTTTACCAATTTGGGATGTTGAACTTCTTATAAGGCGAAGGTTAGTCCACAAACAACTGATCGAAGAGATATTTGCGTATTTCTCTTAAAAAAATTTTTTTACTAGGATATTTGTCTCTACCATCAACTTCATATATTTCATTGCAAAGTACATTAAAAGGGAATTCTGAAAGAGAAGTGATCTCAAACTTCATTAACACTCAAAACTGTATACTTCTTTGATCGATTTAACAGGAGTATTAAGAAATATATTTTGTTTTTTTTCGACTATTTATATTTAATGAATAAAAAGGTCATCATTTTGTGTATAAGAAAGTCAATAAAAGAATAAAATTTTCTTATTATTTGCCTGCGATAATCGTCATGAAGCATACATGTCTTTGCGATAACGAAAGCAAACAAACAGGTATAATGATAGTAGAAGAGAGAAAAAGCATAAGTGTTTTGTTCACATGATGATCGTTGATAAAAGTACATTTTATTCCAGAGATATTATTCTAACTAGATCTGAATTAAGCATAGTAGCTTCATAATGAACTTCATTGCATTTCTCTCACAAAAATTATTCACTTTTATAACGTGACTGCACAATGAATTCAATCACGTGACCGAATTATTTAGTAAAGAACTTTCTACTGATTTTAAGACGGTAAGGTAGATGCGAAACTACTAAAATGTAATACGAAGTTCCAGTTGAGCGTAATACTTATGAAGATACATTATCTAAAAAGATATTATAAGTAATACAAGGTGTATATGCATTATGTACAGCATAGAGCTTGAAAATTAACAGAAAACTCAGTGCACTTTCTTTTCGATGAGAGACTTGCTTGTACACATAGGTAATTGCTGTCCTATATACTGTCTAAATCATAGAGAAAGATGCCTGGTCGAAACTCTTTGTTTTCTGTTTCCCATATATTTCGCTTCAGTTTTGCTATGCAAGGTGCGGGAAATTCGACAGATGAGCACTACTTTATTTTCGACTGAATTATACATCATTAGAAAGAGTGTGTCAAACTGAGTAAGGAAAAGTTGGTTTCAGCTGTTTGAAACACTTTTTTCAGGCCAAAAGTCCTAAAAATCCGGCGGATCTTATATTTCGAAAAATGCCCTTGTTCTTTGAATAATTCAAATTTCTTTCGATACCGTTCTTTCCAATTTTTGAAACTATTGTTTTTTCTGATTTGACGTCCAAAATTGATTCTAAAAATGATATTCAATCGAATGAAAACGAAGAATGGACAAAATATTCTGATATCGAATCCGCGATCATCGAAGAAGCATTCAATGAAAAAAATAAAACAAAATTAGTAAATCTAGATAGTTATTTTATTAACTTAAACGACTCTATTCAAATCAGTAGATCGGATCCCAATCAACAGCGGCAAATAAAGCGACTTCTTAGTAGTAAAAATGAAAGTCAAGGTTTAAGAGAACAAAGATTCTTTCTTCCACCAGCATTGAGTAAAACGCTCGATGCTACGGATGACATTTCACTTGGCTACGGTGCTTACCTTTTCCTTTCACAGTGGAAAAACCATCAGAACATTTCTGATGCTGAAATAGTGAAGCAAGCAGCGGATGGAATAATCATCGAAGGAAAGCAACTAAGTAAACACTATGAGTCACAATACATAGCTCGCCAACTGCTAGCCGTCGAAAACAAACACAGAGAAGAAATTTACAAGTGCTGCATCCGGCTCTACACAATGGAATGCTTTCTATACAAACTAATAAACAAAGCTATGAGAGAAAATGACAAGAGCAAAATAAGCACCCTCGGTCCATTTTGTTACATTTTATTCAGAAGCTGGCTAAAGACAAATCCAAAACATAACGCGCAACTCTATAGGTGGACAAACCTTGATCCAAATCACATAAAATCATATCAAGAAGCTATTGGCGAGCTAACCTGCTGCAACTCCTTTACATCAACAAGCAAAAACCGCGAGAAAACGCAGACCTACGGCAACACTTTATTCATCATCGATGCCACAAAAAACGGTGGCACAGACATATCAGCATTATCCGTTTACCCTACAGAAGAAGAAGTCCTACTTCCACCAGGAACACTCTTCAGAGTTCAGGAAGTCAAACACAACCAAACATCTACTTGCATATATCTGCGCCTTGATCATGCTGATGATCTTGATACTTGCAAGTCTTCACTAAATGCATCGTTATTCATTCTCTTGTTGATGATGACATCCTTGTCAGATGAGCACTTGCATTAGAAAAGTGGAATGTCATCTGGTGACATCGAACGCCAAGCAGATAGACTAATACCGTCCTAGTGATGATCCCGATTCCTCACAAAAAGTATCATTATTCATTGACATGTTGATGATCTCGTCTTTGTCAGATGACCACTTGTGTGAGAAAAGTGAAATGTCATCTGGTGACATCAAGCATCGGAGAGATAGACGGATAGGCGCCTCCTTGGCATTTTTCAGTAAATGTATGATCGTCGCTTCCCTTGTTGATCATGTGGTCGTTGTCAGATGAGCACTGGTTCGACCTAAGCGAAATGACTTCTGGTGATATCAAGCATCTGGCAGAAAGATGAATAGGCTCCTGATTATTGCGGTTCTCCACTGAATGTATCATCGTTGATTCCATTCTTGATGATGTCGTCATTGTGGGATTACCACTGCTTTGAGGAAAGTGAAATGTCATCTGGTGGCATTGAACTTCTACGAGATACATGAATTGTGGGTTTCTGGTATTCGTATTCCTGGTCATGGTTGTCATTCTTGGTGTTTTTAAGTAAATGTGTCATGGCTGATTGACTTTTTGATGATCTCCTCCTTGTCAGATGATCACTGGTATGAGAAAAGTGAAATGTGGTTTGGCGACATCTCACATGTATCAGATAGATGAATAGGCTTCTGGTTGCCATTCTTCCCTAAATGTATCATCCTTCATTCTCTTTGCTGGTGATGTCGTCCTTGTCAGATGAGCACTTGTATGAGGGACATTGTATGTCTCATGGTGACAACCGAACATCTAGGAGATACATGAATAGGCTTCTGATTTTCATTGCCATTCTTCACTAAATGTATCAGCGTATATTCGCTTGTCGATGATGTCGCCCGTGTCAGATGTGTACTTGAATGAGAAAAGGGAAATGTCACCTGGTGATATGGAACATCTAGGAGATAGACGAATAGGCTTCTGGTTGCTGTTGTTCACCAAATGCATCATCGTTGATTCCCTTGTTGATGAAGACACCCTTATAAGATGTGCTCTGCTATGAGAAAAGTGGAATGTCACCTGGTGACTTGCAACATCTGCGAGATATATGAATGGGCTCCTGGTTGCCAGTCTTCAGTAAATGTATCATCGTTGATTACATTTGTTGATGATGTCGTCATTGTCAAATCAGCGCTGATATGAGGAAAGCGAAATGTCATCTGGTGACATCGCACATGTTGATGATAGATGAATGGTCGACTCTTTGTTACCATTCTTCGTTAAGTGCATCATTATTGATTGAGTTGTTGTTGAACGTGTCCGTGTCAGATGTGCGCTGGTATGAGGAAAGTGATATCTGATCTGGTGACATCGAACTTCTACGAGATAGATGAATATACTCCTTTTTGCCATTCTTCACTAAATGAATCATTGTTTATTCCCTTGTTGATGATGTCTTTCTTGTGAGATGAGCACCTGTATGATGAATGGGAAATGTCGTGTGGTGACCTGGAAGATCTAGGTGACAGATGAATAGGCTGCTGGTTGCGATTTTTCACTAAGTACATCATTATTGATTGACTTCTTGATGATGGCATCGTTTGTCAGATCAGCAGTGGTATGGGAAAGTGAAATATCGTGTGGTGACATCGTTGTCGTGTGTGATGAATGAATGTTTTAGTGATTTGTGCCAGTCAGGTATTGTGCGATGATTGATTCGTCTGTTCATTCCTAGTTTTTGTGGTTTTTGCTGAAGTGTGGTGGAGTGGTATTGTTGTATTAGCGGGTGGTATGGTTATTTGGTATATGAATGGTGGTATGGAGTATAGGCTTGTTTTGGTTTTATTTCGCGGACTAGAAGGTTGGGAATTAATGTTTACTGCTAGTTTTATCTCTATTGTATCGTAACGAGGGATTAGCCCGCTTGGTTTCCTAATCCGTGTTACAAGAGACGCGCTTTTGTTTGTATTTTACGCTTTTGTAATGGTAAAATGTCTTTATTTATACATTAAGAAATATACGATCAGTCTGTTGCCGAAGAACTTATGGTGGTTTCTTCTCGATCATGAAACAGATGATCAATGTTGGACGAATACCGGATTCGCGGTTGTTAACGAATACGTATGTATTTTTCGTCCAAGCATCATATTTGAAGAAGAAACAATCAGAATACGTAAATGACTTTTTATAGGAACATCTAATAAGTTTACAAAAACGAAACAAGGAAAGTATCATAAATTTCTAAGTTGTTCTTCACTGATTAGAATATAGTACTTTTGCAACTACTAGTTTACCCTCCCAAAATGATGGTATAAGGAAAAAGGTAATCAATAACTCTTACCGCACATGCGAAACATTAGATTTCACCAATGTGTTGCTCATGCTGAAACTCGCAGGGTTCATCCGTCTTCCTCCACAATTATCATTCTGCGTTTCGCTTGGAGTCAGAACAGACTTTTGAGGATGTTGTTTTCGTTTCTTGTCGCTTGTTGGTTCATGAACTTGCATCGACAAGGCTATTTGGAAGAGAAATCTGAAGGTTGTCAGTTTGTTATTCTCGACAAATTTGCTAATATGCATCTCTTAATTCAACATTTTTCATGCTTAGAACCGATAAAAAACCGAAACCCAACAGATTTTGCACAATAATGCACAATTTGCGTTCTCTCCGAACTCACTTTTCTTCATGGGGAGCTTTCCAAGGATATAAATATAATCTACACAAGTATGTAATATATATATGCATATATAGAACATTAGGTTTATAGGTATCTTAGGTATCTAGGG